TGGACTTAACAAGGAGGGGAAACAGGGCCTTCTGCCAGGTGGGGCCCAAGGGCTAAATGCCGAGCGGGCACAGAGGGGAGTGAGCAGGGCGGGCCCAGAGGGCCGTGAGCAGGGCGGGCATAGAGGGCAGTGAGCAGGGCGGGCACAGAGGGCAGTGAGCAGGGCGGGCATAGAGGGCAGTGAGCAGGGTGGGCACAGAGGGCAGTGAGCAGGGAGGGCACAGAGGGCAGTAAGCGGGCCTGTCCTCCGCCCAGCTCCCTCCTCCCCGTCCTGACCGTCCCACTGGGAAAGGGAGACAAGGCAGGGCTAGCCCCCACCGACACCAAGGCCTACCCTGCGGCTGCGCCTTCACCTCACCTGTCCTCGGGTCTCCTCGGGCATGTGGTAGCGATTGGTGGCCTCCAGCTTCTCCTGCTCGCCGGCCGCCCGGTACTCCCGGGCCAGGTCCCGCACTCGCCGCTTGTACTTGAGCTCTCGCCGCTCATGCTGGCTCAGCTCCACGTCCCCAAAAAGGAACTCCTCATCCGCCAGCTCGGCCTCCAGGTCCTCCAGCTTCTCTCGCTCCCGCTTGGCCAGGTACTCGCGGCGGGACTTCTTCCGCAGCTCAGGGACCTGGGTCAGCACAGGGCAGCTGAGGCCTCATCCTGTCGAATGGTAACCCCGCCTCCTTCGACAGGGCGAGACAAGAACCTCAAGATGAGCCTCCCTTTCCTCTGTGAGCACCTGTGAGTGGCGAGCACAGGCCTGGAGGCCCCAGCGGACCCACAGACCCGCTGCCGCTGGAAGGCCCCGAAGCAGCCTCGCCATCGCCAATACAAAGGCATCAGGGCGATTATCTGAATGTCTGCGAGGCTGCTCCCCTGTTTCCTCTTCGAGGGAGTGAAGAGGGGAGCCAAGGGCGGACACCAGCACTGCGGAGCAGTCTCCGCCTGAAAACGGAGACAACGGACACCCTGCAGGCGCCACGCAGGCGACCTGACCGCTCAGACGCTCGCTGCCAGAGGCCCTGTCCACCGGGCATGACTGTGCTCTGGGGAGGGAGCCGCCGCACACAGCAGGCCCAGGACCGCGGGAGGGCGCCTCTGGGAACAACTCCCGCACACCGTGTGTCACTGGCTTCTACATGTTTCCTTAGATACACGCTTTTCAGGACACACTGAAGGTGACAGAAGACTGGCCACCTCCTTAAGCCTTCCTGGCTCTCACCACCAGTCTCCCCGTGACCCAGGCGCCCACCCCTGGGGGCTCCGATTCGATTTAATTGTTTGGCTTTTCTTGTTTGTTCTCTGAAGACTTCAAAGGGAGTTTATGCTCATGACCTAATCTGAGTACCACCATCAAACACTCCTTCATCCTGAAGGAGGCAGATGGCTGAGTGTGGACCTATGAACCAGGAGGTCACGGTTCGATCCCCAGTATGGGGCGTGCGGGAGGCAGCCGATCAATGATTCTCTCTCATCACTGACGTTTCTCTCTCTCTCTCCCTCTCCCTTCCTCTCTGAAATCAATATATATATATATAAATGTATTTATAAAAGAAATTCATGCCCCAACCGGTTTGGTTCAGTGGATAGAGCGTCCACCTGCGGACTGAAGGGTCCCAGGTTCGATTCCGGTCAAGGGCATGTACATTGGTTGCAGGCACATCCCCAGTAGGGGGTGTGCAGGAGGCAGCTGATTGATGTTTCTCTCTCATCGATGTTTCCAACTCTCTATCCCTTTCCCTTCCTCTCTGTAAAAAATCAATAAAATATATTTTTAAAAAAAGAAAAAAGAAATTCATGAGTACAGCGTAACGCCACACATACAACCAAGGACAGGGAACCTGTCACCAGAGAGGTGGGGGTCACACCTGACTTCCTACTTTGAACATTAGTAGTTAAGGAAACAGGCATTCCCCCTGCCTGCTAAGAAGGAATTGTAGCTCACTTCTAGTTGTTGCGAAAAAGCTCTTCTTTATATAAAAAGGACCCCAACATCAGCATTGCAACCCCCATGAAATAACTGATTCTGGAAAAGCTCAACTGGGCTGGACCATTAGAGGCACAGCTGCTGGGGAAAGGACGGCGCCCTGAGCAGGGCGAGGCTGGCAGGGCCGGTGCTGCTGCCACCACTCTCCTCCAAGTCTGGACAAGCTTTACACACAACTTCCACATTAAAGAAGGTATAGGGCATGGAAGAGCTTAACTCACAAGAGAAGAATGAGACAAACCCAGAACACAGGACATGCCACAAGAGGAGACAGAGAGAAAATGAACAAACCCAAGAGACTAACAACCAAATGCAAGGCAGGACCTTCACGGGATTCCGATTTGGAAACAGAGGTTATTAACCACATTTCCGCCCTGGTGGGGCAGCTCAGCTGGTGAGAGCGCCATCCTGACACACCAGGTGTGGGTTCGATCCCGACAAGGCACACACAAGAAGCAACCAGAGGCATAAATGAGTGGAACAACAGGTCAGTGTCTCTCTCTCTAAAATCAATACATACAAATAAAAAATTGTTAGAAAGACATTTTGGGGTAAGCAGGGGAATTTGATTGCAGGTTCTTGGTTGACACATGAGAAGCGCTGTTCATCTCCTCGGGGTGACAATGGCACCCACTTCAGGGAGAACGCCTGTATTCCTAAGAGGCACATGACGATGGGATAAAGTGCTACGATGTCTTAAACGCTTTTATTTTATTTAAAAAATATATACTTATTGATTTTTTGAGAGAGAGAGGGATAAAGAAATAGAAACATTGAGGAGAGAGAAACATCATCAATCGGCTGCCTCCTGCACGCCCCCCACAGGGGATCGAGCCCGCAACCCAATCATGTGCCCTCAGTGGGAATCGAACCGGTGGCCTCTTGGTTCCTGGCTTGACGCTCAACCTTTGAGATACACTAGCCAGTTAAATGCTTTTAAATGATTCAAAAAGAAAACAAGGCCACGTGTACACAGACATTGCAATTTTTTAACCCAAATAGTCTGTATGAGTGTCCATTATACTATTCATTCAACTTTCCTATTTGTTTTAAAGTTTTCACAATTGAAAAAGACTAAACAAATTCAGGCAAATAAAAACACTGCACTATTGACACATCTGAGAGTCCCTGGCCACAGCCCTTTGTGGTGAGACCTGAGATGGACGGGCCAGGAGGGCCTGAGGCCGCCAGGCCGTTCTCAGACACCCCGAGTCTCTTCCGGGAAACCGAAGTGTGACCTTACTTGGGAGGACCAGGCCTTAGAAAAGCTGCCTACCCGCCCTAGACTCACGTCAGAGCAAGTCCAGCTCATCCCTCACTCACAGCACTCTGTCCCGTGCAGTGAGCAGACCAACCAGGAAACCAGAGGAGGCCACAGGCCACCGGGGATGGAGGCTTAGGGAGGAAAGCGTTGGACACGGTGTGCGGAGCTGAATGGCCAGCACGTCCCTGGGGGACAGCTGCCCTGCCCCTACCTGCCAACTGCCTTCTGACGACACCTACAGCCGCACGTCTCTCTCTCACACAGTACGATTTGATCCAAGAGCCAGGCGGGGTTTTGGGTAGCTTCCTCCCTCTACAACTAAGCCCCCTTCAGCGGCTCCTGTCAGGCAGGCCCCTCCTCCAGAGGCACCATCAGCAACCCCGCTGCACCGCCTCACTGGCTCCTCCCGACCACTGACCACGCCACCAAAGTCGCTCCTTCGGCCTTCTGACCGTGGCTTCCTGGGCACTGGGACTCACCATGGCCTTCCGGTCTTCCTCAGCCATCTTGAGGCGCTTCTGCGCCTCTTCATAAGCCTAGGAGAAGAAACCGAGAGTGAGGGTGTGAGGCTGCACCCCCGCAGCCACAGCCGCCCTCCTCCAGGATCACAAGGACAAGTCAGACGTGCGCCCGGGCACAGGGAACGTTCTGCTCACTGAGGAATCTACCGCCACGGCGTCAGCAGAGGGGGGCCTTAGCCAGAGGACCAGGGGGTCCCTCTCCAGAGGTAAGCTCCCCACTACAGGCCCCTCTTGTCTTCCCAGAGACCCCGTCTCTGCATCACGCCACCCTCAGATCTGACCCAGGGGTCTTCCTGGGGGTGGCGGAGGGTGCCGCTCCCACGCACCTTCTTGTCTGACCGCTCCAGGACATTGCGGGTCCGGTCCTTGTCCCGCTGCCGAACCCGCTCCGCGAAGGCGTCGCGCTCCTCCAGGTCCTGGAGGCGCTCTCGCTCCGTCCGCTCCCATTCATCCTCCGACTCCGGCTTTTCTGTCTGCTGTCGGCTCCCCCTGCAGCCCAGCCCAGAGCATTACATCTAGGCATCCAGAAGGCTTACTGTCCTATCAGCCAGGGCCCATCCTCGCTCATCCTACTTCTGACTCACCCTGTCTTCTTCCCTCTCGCAGAATCCTCTTCTTCTTCCTCTTCCTCCTCCTCCTGGCGTTTCTTCCTGAGGTGTTTCCGCCTTTTACGCTTCTTCTGGAGACGGCTCCCAGCCCTACCCACACTCTCCTCACTGCTCTCCTCACTGTCTTCCAGCAACTTATACGATCGGTTCTTCTCCAGCAGGGCTCGGGCCTCTCGCTCGGCTGCCCGGGCTGGCTTCTCCACCACCGCCTCCCGAGGCACCTGTCGACAGAAGAGTAAGGGAGTGAGCGACTCCTGGTCGGCCCCGCCCTGCCCTGGTCCTGCTGTACGGAACGGCCTGATCTTAAACGAGTCTTCCTTCACCCCACGTTCATCAGCCTCAGCTGCTCACCTTCAAGCGCTCAGTCACGTGTTTAACAAGCCCTTACTGAAGCTGTTCCAGGCACCTGCCAGGCACCAGGGATAGAGGAATAAACGAAAGAGAAAACACCTCTGCCCTCGTGGAGTTTACATTCTCAAACCCAGTTCTCCACTGCTCAGCCTGCGTTCTCCCCAAGGTCCAGGTGAGTCCTGCCCAAGGACCGACCTCTGCAGAGCCTGTGACAGGCTGGCACTGTACCAGCTCCAGGGGCGCCCTGGTGAACAGACCGACGTGAAGCTCTCCCTCCTGTCACTTTCGCTCCAACCTCACCTCTCGCCAAGCACCATGGGACAGCCACAGGCTCCGGACACGCTGACCCTTGCACTCCCACTGTGCGCTTTCTGAGCCCCTGTTCTGTGAGGTGCTCTACTAGGTGGTAGGAGTGCCTTTTATTTTACTTATCGTTTTTGTTAATCCTCACCCAAGGATATTTTTTCCATTTAGAGAGTGGAAGGGAGGGAGAGGGGGAGAGGAAAAACATTGATGAGAGAGAAATATCGATGGTTGCCTCCTGCATGGGGCTCCAACGAGGCCGGGGATGGGACCTGCAACCCAGGTACATGCCCTTGACTGGGAATTGAACCCGAGACCCTCTGGTGCATAGGCCGAACCTCTATCTACTGAGCCACCAGCCAGGGCTTTATTTCATTTATTATTATTTATTGATTAGAGAGAGAGAAACACCGATTTGTTGTTCCACTTAATTTATGCATCACTGGTTGGTTCTTGTATGTGCCCTGACGGGATCAAACCTGCAACCTTGGTGTATGGGGACGATGCTCCAACCAACCGAGCCACCCGGCCAGGGCTAGAAGCTCGCCTTTTATACCTTCACTCCTCCCCCTTCGCTACCTGACAACTGCAGGGACTCCGGACCGCTTCGCCTGGTCACTACCCCCACCTCTCTTCCATTGCCTCCGGAAAACTCGTTAGGTTTGTTAGAAATGCAGAAACGAAGACCCCCACCCAGACCTCCGGGTCGGAATCTGCACTTTAACTGGGGCCTGGATGGATGGGTGCCTGTTCACGTCCGAGAAGCTGCCATGTAAGACTTAACCCGACACACTGACCCTCCTGATCTTCACGGGGCTGGACGTGCGGCACCAGGGCAGCGCCCGGGCGGCCGCGGGCAGGACCAGCGCCTGCGCACGGAGCTTACGGATTCGCGGGAGGACGGCTAGCCAGCCACACCCGCACGAGCGGCCAGGCCCGCCCCGCGCCGCCCCGCCCCGCCCCGCGCCGCCGCGGCCACACCTTGCTCCAGAGTCGCAGGGCGAAGTCCCGCGCAGGCCCGCCGAGGTCCAGGGTGTCGGTGTCGCGCAGGCGCTGCACGAACTCCTCGGCCGAGCTGCAGCGCCGCGCCGTGCCGATCAGGAACTGCGCCACGTGCCGCTCGCTCAGCCCCAGCACCGCGTGCAGCTCGTCCTGCACCCAGCGCTCCAGCGCCGCCGGCGTCGCCATGGCGACCCGCTCCCCGAGCCGCGCGGGCGCCCGGCGGGGCGGAGGCCTGGAGTCTGGACGGGCCCAGCGGCCGCGCGGGCACCGGGCGGGTCGAAGGCCTGGAGCCCGGAGGGGCCCAGCCGCCGCGCAGGAACCGCCCGGGGCCCCGAGGTTCGGTTTCCAACAGCCCAAAGCCGCCCTCTCGGACCCCGGAGCTTCCGGCGGCGCTTTTCCGGTCTGAGCACGACGGTGGCCGATAGAGTCCAAGTCTCGCGGAACCGTACATTTTCTTTTCCGCCCCGCAGAATCTCTGTCGCCCCCAGGTGGTCAGCCCGCGGATGCTTCACTCACCCATTCATTCAACAAACGCGGGCGCCTAAGGTGCTAGACACAATTTTAGTCGCTAGGGATATAGCAAAGAACAAATCAGACAAAAATCCCTTACCGAATTACATTTAAGGGGGAGGGGGAAGAAAAAATACATAATAAATAAAGCATGTAAGTTCTATGGAGCCCTCTCCCCCCCCCCCGCCCCCCCAAAAAAGCAAGGTGTATTTTGGGATTCCATTTCAAATTAGCCCATACTGATGAGGAGTGAGCTTGCTCGGAGCCCTGTCTGCAGCAGCAGTGAACACAGGTTAGGCCGGAGCGAGGACCTCCAGGCAGGAAGGAGGACCTCCAGGCAGGAAGGAAGGTGGGACCTGGGGGGAGAACAGGTGCTTTGCTTTTCTTGATGCTATCTCAGAAAGCACTTTTAAAGGCTCTCCGAACTAGTCTGGCGGCTATGGCTCCGTGGTTGAGTGTCAGCCTATGAACCGGGAGGTCAGGATTCCCAGTTGCGGGCTTGATCTCCAGTGGGGGCCTGCAGGAAGCAGCCGATCAATGATTCTCTCATCACCGATGTTTCTCTCTCTCTCCCTCTCCCTTCCTCTCTGAAATCAGTAAAAATAAAAGATCTCTGAATAAGGCATGCCCGAGCTGTGCTCTGCATGTTTGCTAACAGCTTGCGAAGTGCACTGGTGGCTGCGTATTTACAAGTGAGCAGACCTTGTTAGTTGACTCTGCTGTCGGACCTGTTTGACCCTGCTCCATACTTCATGATTAATGGGACTTATCAGACACTACTGTCAAGAAACAAAACATGGTTATTCCAATTAACAGCCGCTTTTGGTGTCTGAGATGGACTGTGGGCACCCCTGGCATCTCTCGGCCTCCTGCCTCTACTTTCTTGGGTCAAAACAGATGAGGGTCTTTACCTAATGAGCTACTACCTTAAGGATTCTGTTACCCTCCATACCCACAGCCTCTCTGAACTGGTCCCCCTGCTAGTAAATTAGAGGCTGTTGGTATAAGTTTAGATCAATTTGTCTAGTACATCCTGTTCTTAGTGGGGTCCCTCCGACTGGGCATCCTCTATGGACAGGACCGTACCTATCCAAGCATGTCTTCCTACCCCGGAGAACTAAACACTGACCTGGTAAGGAGAGTGCAGACCTCCCACGTTTGTAGAAGACAGAATTCTTCGAAATGGGAAAATCTCCCAGCTAGATACTTGGGTGACAAAGCCATGAAGTAGCCGTGGATTTTTTTTAATCCTCGCCTGTGGGCATGTTTTTATTGATTTTAGAGAGAGAGGAAAGAAGGGGGAGAGAAACACCGAATGAGAGAGAAACATCTATCAATTGCCTCCCATACATACCCTCACCAGGGACTGAACCCACAACCTTTCCGTGCACGGGGTGATGCTCCAGCTAACCGAGCCCCTGGCCAGGGCAGCGTGGATCTTAAACCTTTGAGAACACCTGTTTCCATCAGAGGAGACCCTTACAGGACCCTGCACTGTTGATGCGCTGTGTTTTTCAGATTTGTTATTGGTGCCGAGTCTTGGGGTGAAGGACTCGGGTTAGCCACTGGCACACTGCCTGCTGCTTGCGTTGCCGTCGGCCTCTGAATACTGAACCCTCCAGTTCAGAGCATCCTCTGCTTCCAGTTCTGTCACTCTTTTCATCTGCTGATTTACTCATTGAATCATTCATTCTAGAAATAACTTTTTTGTCTACGAGGTGCCAGGCGTGGGGTTGAACCTAACCAGCCTAGTCTGCCCTCATTGCACTGGCCATGTCTGGCGGATACTTCCACTGCCCTTCCTCAAACCAGCCCTTCGAGAAGCACTGGGGGCTCTCCCAAAGCTTCCTACCGCAGTGCTGAGCTCCTCCCACCCCCACCCACAGCCACGGCCACTTCCCCTTCTTGGCCAATAGGAAGATGGCAGAGGCTTGGAAGAACCAGAGCAGCCTCCACGTACACTTTTTTTTCTAAAGAAGGAGAAGCAACAGGAGAGTTGGAAAGAGCTCCACTTTATTATGAAAAATTGTTTTTGTCTTTTTAAAAACAGGCAATTGATAAGGAAGGAGAAGTAGGGGAGAATTGAGGTGCTTCGTTAGTCACACCAAACCCTTGTAATTCAATTCATTTGTGAACCATGAGGAGGAACAGAATTAAATAACCAGATGGGGGTACAGAGCTAAGATTCCCAGCCTTCCCTCTTGGGGAAAACTGAGGCGGAGTAATACTGAGCAAAAGTGGAGGAAGCCACCCCCAGGTCATCCCAATGAGGTGACTTGGGGACAGGGAAGAGGGTCCACATGGACATGGGAAACAGGCGTGGCTTGTGAGCCTGGGACCTTGGGAGGGGAGCTGGGGGTGTTTGTAAACTAGATTATGGTCAAGAGAGGAGGCAGGAGCCCAGCCTGTGGGGCTCAGTGGTTGAGCATCAGCCTGTGAACCAGGAGGTCACGGTTCGATTCCCCCGGTTGCCGGCTTGATCCCTAGTCGGGGCGTGCAGGAGGCAGCCAATTGATGGTTCTCTCTCATCATTGATGTTTTTATCTCTCTCCCTCTCCCTCTCTGAAATCAATAAAAAAATATTTTTAAAAAGAGAGAGGAAGCAGGAGCTGTAAACGAAGGGCAGTGCCTAAGGAACAGGAGAAAGAGGTGCCTATAAAAGGACTGGGCCGGCCTCCCAAGGAAGGCTGCCGGGAGGTGTGCTGTGCCCACAGATGGAGGGGTCCTCCCCCCACCCCATCCCGTGAGCTCGGCCTCTGCCTGGGACTGGGCCGCCCAGGGAGCGTGAGCACAGCTGGCACTCACTCTGGGGACTGGGGGCGAGGTGGCATTTGGGCTCTGTCCTCAGAGACAGGGCGGGGACAGCAAGATGGCGGCGATATAGGCAGACGCGTCCCAGGTCTTGTCCCGGAGCAAACGGAGTGAGCAGCTGAAACTTTCAGGGGCGTCTGTTCTGAACCTTCCGGGACCCAGGATCTTCATTTCGGGAAGGAGGAAGGTAGGTCCCTGTGTTGGAAGAGGGTCACCTCCGGCAGGACTCATCTGTGGGAGAGGAGGCAATAACGGGGGAATGAGTGCAAGCCTCTGTCTCCGGCTCCCCCCCCCCCGCCCCCCGAGGGCCAGGAGCACGGGGAAGTGTCTAACATTGTCCACAACTTGAGTGCTTGCTCCTACCAGGACAGCAGCAGCCACACTCATTCCCTCATACTCTGCGCCAGGCATTCTTATAACAGCCTCACAACAACCCCAGGGGAGGTGAAGTGATGTGATGCCCAGCCATGGTTCTAGGGCAGCGGTTCTCAACCTGTGGGTCGCGACCCCTCTGGCGGTCGAACGACCCTTTCACAGGGGCCGCCTAAGACCATCCTGCATATCAGATATTTACATGACGATTCATAACAGTAGCAACATTACAGATATGAAGTAGCAACGAAAATAATTTTATGGTTGGGTCACAACATGAGGAACTGTATTTAAAGGGCCAGAAGGTTGAGAACCACTATTCTAGGTGCTTCATTAAAATTATTTAACCCTCTCAGTGACTCCAGGAGGCAATTTTTTAAAACTCCTTTTCAGTAATAAATTGAACTCTGGCCAGTGTGCTCAGTGGTTTTATTTATTTATTTATTTATATTGATTTCAGAGAGGAAGGGAGAGGGAGAGATAGAAACATCAATGATGAGAGGGAATCATTGATTGGCTTCCTCCTGCACGTTGGACCGAGCCTGCAACCCAGGCATGTGCCCTTGACCAGAATCGAACCTGGGACCCTTCGGTCCACAGGCCGACGCTCTATCCACTGAGCCAAACCGGCCAGGCTGCTCAGTTGTTTTAGTGCGTTGGCCTGCAAATTAAAGGGTCCTGGGTTCAATTCCGGTCAAGGATATGTACCTGTGTTGCAGGCTCAATCCCCGGCTGCAGTCAGGGTACGTGTAGGAAGCAACCACTCGATGTGTCTCTCTCACATCACTCTTTCATTCTCTTTCCCTTCTATTCTCTCTAAAATAAAAGGAATAATAATAACAATTTGCCCTGGCCAGCTTGGCTCAGTGGATAGAGCATCAGCCTGCGGACTGAAGGGTCCCAGGTTTGATTCTGGCCAAGGGCACATTGCCTGGGTTATGGGCTCGATCCCCAGTAGGGGGCATGCAGGAGGCAGCTGATCAATGATTCTCTCTCGTCATCGATGTTTCTATCTCTCTCTCCCTCTCCCTTCCTCTCTGAAATAAATAAAATATATTTAAAATTTTTAATTCCCTGAGGCCACAACCGTAAGAGAAGATAAAATTCACACTCAGGCCCGACTGACCCAAACCCCGAGCTCTAACCCACACGACTGACCCAAACCCCGAGCTCTAACCCGCACGGGGAGCCCGGGGAAAGCCCTGGTTTCACACTCCGGAGACCCGATGCTTCCCCATCTGTTAAAGGACCTGGCGAGCCCTTCCAGCGCCGTTTTCCTCCAGGACCGCAGTGTCGGCTCTGGACGCCAGGCGGCGCCCTCGCGCCAGCGGCGGTCCACTCACCCACTAGCAGCGCCTTGGAGCGCAGGCCGCCCGGGGGCTCCGCCTGCAGCTCCTCCTCCTCTTCCTCGTCGTCTGGCTGGGCCGCGGGGGCGGCGGGGGGCCTCGGGCTCCGGGCCCAGCTCCCGCAGCACCGAGCTCTCGGAGGGGTACTGGTACGTCGTCTCTAGGGCTGTCTCGCTGAAGGAGATCTTGAGCTGGGGGTGGGGGGCGAAGGAGGCAGGTCACCCACCTCAGCCCCGTGCAAGGTGGGCGTGGGGCGGGATCTGGGCACCCGCTGCCTTTGCCCTCCCCACCCCTCCGGGACCCAGTTTTCCTTCGATCAGTTTCAAAAACATGAGACTTGGGCCTGCGTTTGGCAGGGGCAGAGGTGGGTAACGCAGGACCAGGGTTCCCAACTCGTAGCGGGCGGGAGGCAGAAGGGTAAGGACACATTAAAAACGCGGGCAGAGTCCTGCGATCAGAACGGGAAGCCTCCCCGAGGTGAGCTTGGAGCTGGCTGGGAGGGGGTCCCAGGGAAAAGCAAGGCAACCCACAGCAGGGCCCCGAGGAGCACTCTTCCCTCAACACAGGGGCGACCCCAGAGGTGCCGCCGGGAAGGTGACAGGGCAGATGTGGGGGGGGGGGGGCGGGGCGTGGAGAGTGCCTCGAAAGGACAGGGAGAAAGGCAGAACACCAGACAGGAGAGGGAGGGACAGGCTCCCCATAAAAAGCCCGCCCCCTGCAGCCCTGGGCCCTCCTCAGAAGCTCAGGGGAAGGGAAGGGGCAGCGTGGGGTTAACCGGTTTGGCTCAGGGGATAGAGCGTTGGCCTGGGGACTGAAGGGTCCCAGGTTCGATTCCCATCAAGGGCATGTACCTTGGTTGCGGGCACATCCCCGGTGGGGGGTGTGCAGGAGGGAGCTGATCGATGTTTCTCTCTCATGGATGTTTCTAACTCTCTATCCCTCTCCCTTCCTCTCTGTAAAAAAATCAATAAAATATATATATATATATATATAGCAGGAGGTTCCTGTGAACTCCCTGGAAAGGTCCAGACCTATCGGGCCTTCCCAGCATCTGTTTTGAGACACTTGGGGCTGGCTCCCCGCACCCCTGAGCCTCAGCGGACTGGGATGTGAGCAAAGCCTGGAAGGTGGCTGGACAGGAAGTTGCTAACATGGGTCCCCACCGGAGCCTGAAACTCAGGAACTGTCACTGTTGCACTGGCTCCCCATCTCACCGGGACAAAAGCTAGAGCCTGACCACAGTCAAGTCTAGAGCAGTGATGCGAACCTATGACACGCGTGTCAGAGGTGACACGCAAACTCATTTTTTTGGTTGATTTTTCTTTGTTAAATGGCATTTAAATATATAAAATAAATATCAAAAATATAAGTCTTTGTTTTACTATGGTTGCAAATATAAAAAAAAAATTCTATATGTGACACGGCACCAGAGTTAAGTTAGGGTTTTTCAAAATGCTGACACGCGGAGCTCAAAAGGTTCGCCATCACTGGTCTAGAGGCTGCTGCCATGGCCACGCCCTCACCTCTGGGCATCCTCCCTCCAGCCACAGGCCCAGGCCCAGGCCCCAGCACCGGCACCGGCTGCCCCCTCTGCCTGGAACACTCCCCTCCCAAACATACCCAATGCCCCTCTCCCAGCCACACATTATAGTCACACCCACTCCCGCTCCTCCCGCCTCCAGCTTCCACTCACCCTGCGCTTTACTGCCCTGTGTCTTCTGTCAACAGGAGACTGGGAGATGCTTTACTGGGTAAGGAGGGGTTCATGCAGACCCCAGATGAGGTCCCAGAGAGGACCAAGGCTGGGGGAGCCCAGCCTGTACACAGTTGACCCGTCTGTGAAATGGCTGATAGAATTGGTGACAGCAACCAGACCCTTTGCATCCAAACTTCTTAAAGGGGCCATCTCTGGTTCTGTGACTGACAGATTTACCCAAACTTCTGGGAACCCACGTCTCTTTTCTTTTCATGTCCCCGTTCGGGGACGAGCTCTGCAGTGTGTTAGACACGCTGAAAAAGGGCTCATTTTATTTGCTTTCAGTCCATGTTTGACTCTCTCCACACTGCTTCCCTCCCCCAACCCCAACTTCTGACTGGGCTTCCCAGGAATGTACAGCCTGCACGGGAGGGGGTGCAGAGGGGTGACTCACTGGCTCCTCATCAGCTATATAAGGTCCGGAGGGGGCTGGAGAGGGAGGGGCTCTGGGCCCGGGGCAAGCCTGGGGTTCCTCTGAATAAGGCTGATGGAATTGGCCTGCAGGTGTTACTTAGGGAAGGAGGCGGGCGGTGGGGTGCTCCTATCCCTGAACTAGGGGGCAGAGCTGGGACAGGGATGCTAGCCCCTCATGAGCCTGAAAGGGCGAGGGGGAGGCCTGTGGTCCGCAGAGCGCTGCTCCGCCCCACCCCCACCCCGCTCTGCTTCCTCCTCTCACCACATCCTGAGTGGTGCTGGCAGGCAGGGCAGCGTCCCCACTCGGCCCCACCGCCTTCCGGCCCCCACCCCAGGCTTCCTGTTTGGGTGATCTGCTTCCGGCTCCCAGATCCCTGACCCAGGTATGGTCACCACCACAGGTCCTGCCCTGCACCTGGACGGCCCTGGACTTTGGGTCCCAAACTTCATGCTCCCTCTGCTCTTTCCACCCCAAAAGCAAAGCCAGCTGACTCCGTAGGAAGTGACTTTTCTGACCACTTTGCCCTGGCCTTCCTGACCTACCTCACTGCATGGTCGCGGGTTCGGGGTGGGCGCTTACGCTCCTTGTGATGATGAGCGGGGGACAAATGACCCCCAAGCTGAACCTAGCCTGTGGTCCCTGTGGACACAGAAACCATGTCTGAGGGTGGCACATGTGGGATGAGGACTGGAGTCCAGGAAGGGCTTCCGTCTTGGGGGACTGCGGAAGGGGTGGGACCAGGGCCAGGCCAGGGAGCCCTTAGCCTGGCTTCTCCCACTTTCCTTCACACCCTGATTCCAGTCTGACATCTGACCCTCCGCTGGCCTTGGCCCCACCCCTGTCCTCAACTCCCATTGGACTCCCTGCTCTCAGCAGTGCCTCCACGTTCACTTCTCTTTTTCTACCCCAAGGGGAGGGAGAGGCCAGCGAGAGGGGAACCCCAGTGTGAGCCAGTCCTGAGAAGGGAGGGCGAGGCCGGGAGGAAGGCAGAGGCGGGAGGCTGGGAGAGGCGGAACTGTCCGAAGCAGAGGCCGGCTGGGGGTGCAGCCTGAGGTCGCCCACTCTAACGGCCTCAGTGTGCGTCTCTCCCAGGGGCAGACTTGCTCTTTGGCCAGCCCTGTCCCATTCCCCACGCCCTCCAGCCCAGGCTGTGGCCACTCAGCTGTCCTCTCTTCCTTGGGGTTCTGAGGCCTCCCTCCACCCACTTCTTCCTTCAGTTTCTCTCTAGAACCCCAAAGCCACCCCCCCCCGCCCCCCATCCCCCCCTGGAAGCTGTGAGGGCTGTCATCCTGGTGACCCTGCTTGTCACAGAGTCAAGGCTGTTGGCCTGTCTCCCACCAGATGGGCTGGGTTGGGTCACAGACTCAGAGGAAAGGAAGGAAAGAAATGGGGGGCCTTAGAGCCCGAGGGAGCAGAGAGGGAGCAGTCAGGGCACACCCTGCGACACCCCAGGGACAGCATGGTTGTGGGCAGACCCTCGAGGCTTGGCCATGGACAAGGGGCTGTGAGAAGGAAGGGGTGTTTGCAGAGGAGGGCAGGGGAGGCTGACCAGAGGACCAGGAGCAGGGTCAGAGAGAAAGGTGGAGTTCAGAGTCCAGAGGGCACGGCGAGTGGGCTGCTACGAAGTCTGGCTTGGCTGCTCCCTACCTGTTTGTGGTGCCTTTCAGGGGACCCCTTGACAAGGCAGCTGCGGCTGAGGCGGAGGTAGCCCCCCAGAACCGAGATCTCCTCCGCAGTCGGGTACCTCTTCTTCCCGGCCCCGGGGGCCGCAGCATCAGCGGGGGCAGGAGCGGCCGGGGCTGCGTGGGGCGCAGACCGCCGAGGGTTGACGGTGAAGGTGTGCCCGCTGCGGCGGGGTGGCCCCAGCCCTGGCCCTGCCTTCACCCCATAGAACAGCCGGCTCATGAGGGGATCCCCAGGGGACTGGGGGGCCGGTGGTGGGGGAGACAGAGGGGCGGGTGGGGGCCGCGGCTTCTCCGCTTCCTCTTCCTGCTGCCTAGAGCCTCCGGGCCGCGCGTCCTCGGGCGGGAGGGGGCAGGGCCCAGAGCAGCGGCTCTGCAGGGCGCTCGCGGGCCGGCCCTGAGCCCCCGCCTCCTCCCCTGCAGCCTCCGCACCAGGAGGCCCCAGGTGCTTCCCGGCGGGCTCTGGAGGGGCTGGCTTCCGAGTCTGAGTCTCTGTGTCCCTGGCTGTCCATTCTCGAGCCTTCCCAGAGTGCAGGGCCATTTCCACCCCTTCGGGCAGCCTGGAGTCCCCCTCCCCACCCTCGGCGGGACTGGGGCTCCGCTCTGCGGTCTGCCCGCCTTCAGAGCTGCGGCCCGCAGCCTCGTGCGCCAGGGTCTCGGGCAGCCCCGTCAGCTCCTCGGGGGCCGCCCTTGGAGCCCGCCTGTCTTCTCTGCTCCCACATTCCTCCGAGCTGCCTTTCCAGTCTCCTGGGCTCAGACTCCATTCTGCTGCCTCCAGTGGCTTCCAACTCTGCTCCTGAGACTCTGTGCAGCCAGGCCTCCATTTAGGGGCCTCCGTCGGGCCCAAGTGCTGGCCGTCAGACTCCACTGGGCTCAGCCTCCCCCTGGCCACCTCCTTCCTCCTGGGGCTTTGTTCTCCAGGCTCTGCCGGGGTCACACCTCCGTCCGCTTCTCCCGGGCTCAGCCTCCACCGCCGTGCCTCTGGCAGCCCCGAGGCCCTGTCTCCAGCCTCTCCCGGGCGCGGCCAGTCCCGGGCCTCCGAAGGCCTGGGGCTTGACTCTCGGGCTCCCCCTACCCCCGGCCTCCTGTCTCCAGCTTCCCTGGGGCTGAGCCGCTCTTCCCTGGGCTCTCTTTCTTTGGGACTTGGATCCTGCATCTCCCCAGGGCTGGGTCTCCATTCCCGGGCCTCCGCAGGCCCAGGCCTCCTTTCTGCAAGGAGCTCGTCACTCCGCCGCTGCTGCTGCTGCTGCTGGCGCTCCTGCCGGATGAATCGGTTCTGGTGCACTGGGCCGATGGCCTCCAGCAGGACCGCAGACTTGTCTGGGTCTGGAGGCCCAGCTTCTGGAGGCCCAGACGCAGGGCTGGGCTCCCCAGGACACAGACCAAGCTTGGCCCGGCGGCGTTCCAGGAGCCCCCGCTTCCAAGCTGGCATCTGGGACAGGCGCTCCCGCTCCGCCTTCTCCCGGCCCCGAGCGGCTGCCTCCTCCTGCCGGCGCCGGGCCAGCAGCTGTAGCTTCCAGTCCGGGATGGTGGCCATGGTCCCTCGAGGTGCAGGTGAGGCGCACTGGAGGCAGAGAGCAGGGAGGAGGTGCTGCTGAGGCCCCGGGATGAGCCTGGACGGCAGAGCGGCGCGGGAGGTGGGACGCGGAGGGCGGGCAGGACAGGCAGTGCGGCGGGAGAGGGAAACCAGAAGTGAAGAAACGCCTATGGGCCGAGCAGATGGGGAGGGACGCGGCAGAGGAAGAGGGAGATTCAGATTTGGCAGCTCAGGGTTCACGGGTGCCAGAGAGGGACCGAGAGGAGAGAGAAGTGGGTGTGAGGCTGCGGGTGAAAGCCAGGGGGCGTGGGAGTGGGGACGGAGGTCAGCGAGTCCCGCTGGAGAGGGGCCTGCGGGACCCGAGCGGGTGTCAGGGAGGTGAGGGGCGGAGGGTGGAGAGGTCCAGGGGCAACGGCGGCCCCGAGGTCCAGGCTCCCTTTCCAGCTGTGCTCCGCCCGCCTCCCGCCGCCCCTCCGCCCCAGAGAGGGCCAGGGGGACTTCCCTCCCGCGGGGACTTCCAGACCCGGCGCCGGCGCGGGCCCAGACCCCGGCGTCCACCCTCCGGCGCGTCCCGCCTCCC